TGGGTGACACTGGATTCTGGGGTGGGTGACACTGCATTTTGGGGTGGGTGACGTGACACCAGCTCAGCCCAGCCCAGCCCAGCCCCTGCAGCAACAGCAGCAATAATGAGGGTTCCTACAACTTCCCCTCAGTTCCACACCTCTCAGTGCTATTTTACCTCCTGGAGTCACTCCAGTGATGGGCTCAGATGAACTCTGACCCCCAGCTGAACCCAGGCTGATTTTGGATGCAGCCTCAGCTTCCCATTTGTGCAGTTCCTGGCAGCCAACAGGATTCCCACCCCTGGCCCTGCACCACACAAACCCCGGGTTTGCTGCACCCCACTGATGCCTCAGCCCAGCCCAGCACACCCTGATGGCAAGAGAGACATCCAAGGGACCCCACTCCTGCCATGGGATACTCCCTAATTCCAGGCAACAGCACCTCACCCTGCATCCCACAAGGAATCCCATCCTGGCATCCACCACTCAAACGGCTCCCACAGCCACAAAATCACTAACAAACAAGACCACTATTTATTTATCTTGGAATACAGTTTTTTATACCAGTCTCAATCACTGCTGTTCATCACCTAGGCAGGATTAATTGCAATCAACTCTAATTTTAATAATTAGGTTCTAATTATTAATAATAAGAAGATAAACACAATATCAAGATTTTCAAGGAGCATTTGGACAATGCTCTCAGGCACATGGGGGGATTTTTGGGGTGTCCTGTGCAGGACCAGGAGTTGGACTTGATAGTCCTCGTGGGTCCCTTCCAATTCAGGATATTCTATGGTTCTAATACACTCTTAATATTTAATCCTGTATTTTTCCTCCCGATATCTAATTTATACTCGAGAAAAGATTTTCCAGAACAAATCTATATTTTTAGTATTTCTAATACTTGCCTGGAGTGCCTTCAGCTTAAAGAGCTGAAGGGCAGGCACGGAAATATCCATAAAAATGGGCTGAGCAGGGACTGCAAAAGCCCAGCACAGAAACACTTCGTGTTTTTAATCCTTGTCAGACGAGATGTTTGGGAGCTGATCTTTAGCACAGACAAGGTTTCTGTTGCTGCAGGAAAACGAGTTCCCTCAAAGGCAAAGGATGCTCTGCAGAGTACTAATATTGTACAAGGGTCTGCCAGTGGAAAAAGGAGGAGGAAAGGTTTAACAGGGCTGGGTTTAGCTGGAGCTGCCCCTGAGCACTGAGGAGCAGCTGCTCCGCTCCCGGCATTCCCAGACCTTCCTGCAGCCACTGCACCATTCCCGGGAAGACTCAGCTTCCACCTCCACCTCTGCCCAGGGCAACCATCCAGGTTTTGATCCCCGAGGAGCAAAAACGGGCTTTTCACTTAAAATAACCCCTTTTGACAAGGTCTGATGGTTTCCAAGCGTGATGGAGCCGGAGGTTACTCCGGTGACAGTGGAATTACAGCATTTACATGGAAACTGGGAAAATCCTCAGGAGCAGCCAAACAGCAGCGAATAGTCCTTGTTATCCAAGCAAAAAAATACCTCTAAACCCACTGCCACGAGTCCCTGGGGGCTGCTGGACCTTCAGAGTGAGACACAAACCCCTGTGTCAATCCCTGCCCGCTCCAAGGCTCAGGGAATGTGTGCTCTCAAAGCCACGGCTCCTATTTTATTCCTGCAAATACACCTGGAAAAATGTGTTCCAACTGATCCCAACACGTGTCAGAGGATGAAAGGTTTGTCTTGAGCAGCTCTGTCTCCAGAACAACCTGTAATTCAGGGGTTTCTCCTGAATGGTCTCAGTTTGATTTGAGTTCTTGCAGAGACACCTCGGGAGCTGAAAGGTCCCCATGGTCATCCTGCTTCTGAGCATTGGAAGGAATCAAGGAATCATGGAATGATTTGGGTTGGAAGGAACCTTAAAACTCATCTGTCCACGGGCAGGGACACCTCCCACCAGCCCAGGTTGCTCCAAGCCCCATCCAGCCTGGCCTTGGACACTTCCAGGGATCCAGGGGCAGCCACAGCTGCTGTACATGACACAAAATCAGGAAGTACATTCCAAAAATCCCCCAAGAAATGCCAAAATCTGACCAGCACCAACTGCCACCCCCTCAGTCCCCAGGGTGGGGTGGCCTGACCTTCTGCCAGTGCCCTGCTCAGCCCCCAGCCCTGGCACTGCCCATGCCCACCCATCACCTCGGAAAGGCTTTTCCTGCCTTCACAAAATCTGGGATTCCTTGGGCTGGAGGTGCCATTTCAGGCTATTTTTGGGCAAGGTCCTGCCCTGTGGTGTCAATTAACTGACCTGAGCAATGGATGGGTAAAGGAGGAGCAAGTGAGGAGAAAAGGGCTGTTAGACCAGGGGTGAAGAACCAGGAGGAGAAACAAGGGGCAGAGGTGGCAGAGACGGGTGTGTGAAGAGCAGGAATAGCAGCCAGGAACGGATCCTGGAGGAGAGTGGAGCTGTCCAAGGTATCCCTGAGCAGCACAAGCAGCACCTGTGGATCCCCACGTTCCCAGTGCCAAAAATACGGCAAAGAATCCCATTTTCCTAAGGAATGTCAGGAGCTCCCTCCACAAGGAGCTGTGGGCTTTGAATGGCAGAGTCATGGAATTATTAACCTTTCCCAGCAAATCCAGAGATTCCAAGAAGATGTTTGACTCCAATACAGGACTGAGAACTGATCACAGCTCCTGTAACTCCCTCAGCAAATCCACCAGCACTGACCAGATCCATGGACTGGGAAGAGCCAGGGACCCTTTTCCAGAGGTTCAGCACCTTCTGCCCTTAATTCCATCGGGATTAATGAGTTAATTTAGGGAATGTGATGGCTCAACCCAGTCCAGACCCATCAGCCAGCTCTTCTCACTAAGCTTTCCTCAATTTTAAAAAAAAAACACTTCTGCAGCAATACAAATTACACATAAATAATAAATCTTATGTAAAATAACCCCTGGTGTGATGATGCCTGTGTTATGACTTTAAATCCAGAGAGCAAAGGTAGGAATTTATCCCTGTAATTATGGGAGATAAATTCTTGAGGGTGAAACTCGTGCAGATCACAGGGGTTTTAAATTACCCAAGAGCAGAGTGTGAGTGCAGCAATGGTGTTACAGACATGCACACAAGGGTCACCCGAGGGGGTTTGTGTTTTCTGCCTGTTCCACTGATCACAGAGAAAAATAGGAATAAAAACACGAGGCTGAAATGATGTGAGAGAACAGGGAAAGCAGCAAGGAGTTAAAAAAAATGAACTCACCAATTTGCTTCTACACTTTTGGCCTGGCTTAGGCTGGTGGTGATTTTACCCCCCTGTTTTTTGAATATCCAGTGGCAGCAGCTGCCAAAACTATTTGTAACTGAGTGGGGGAAAAAACAAAAAAAAAGAAATACAAAACCTCTCATTTTTATATTTTAACAATTTGCAGAGTCAATGACTTGTCTGAGTCAGGGTTCACTTTGAGCCCTGCTCCATCTCAAGGGAAGGAAAGAAGAACTGGGAATTGCCTTTCTTTGGAAATTCCCTGTGACTCCCTGTGACAAAGGGAAATTTCCAATTTCCCTTTGGAAATTCCCTTTCCCTCCTCTGGAAAATCCCTGTGGATTTGGGAGAGCTGGGATGGACAGAGCACAGAGAGGCTCTGCAGCTCGTTAGGGTCATTAATTAACCCTCCCAACTTCCACCCACACCTGAGCTTTAATGAAGGAGCTGCTGCCTGAATTCACAGCCCAGAGAGAATATTTTAGATGCTGAGAAAAACAGTTCTCCTGACTCCAAAACAGCTTCACCCCCTCCCTCCATTAATGACTTGCTGACAACCCTCCTCGCTTTTCCTGGGAACAAAACCTAAAACACCCAGCCCTTCCCTCATTCCAGGCTTTGAAGGACAAGCAATGACAGATTTTGGCCATTTTCTGGCAGAATTAATGGTGAAAGGCTCTTTTTGGCCCCTCCATCCCTGCCTTACCTGGACACACCATCCCCTGAGCTGCCTCTCCTTCTGCCTCCCTGCTCCAGAGATGTGCAGCACTGGAATTCTGCCCACTCCATCCCATCTCCCACAGGTTAGAAACAATTACATCCACTCAGAAAACCTTTTTTTCATCTATTTTTGAACTTCCCATGAAGCCACAGAAGCCGTTAGAGCCGAGCAAATAACCCCTCACCAGTAATTTATTCAATTTGTTCCCTTTCAGCTTCATTTAGAATTTGGGAAGAGGTTTTGTTACACTCTGTGGTTACAGCAATTAAATGGAAGAGGTCAGGACAGGCTCTTCCATCATCTCTAACTCAGGGTGCACAGTCATCAGTTCTATGGGCACATGTGGGACTTTGGTCCCCTGACCCCTTCACCCTCACTCTGCTCA